CTCTTCCGACTTGATGATGTAAACCTCTTCATCACCTTCTTTTCCCCACAACAGCAAGTATAGCCCAACAATGACAATTAGTGCCCCTAATATGCTGAACAGAGCCACAGATGAACTTTAGAACAAGGCACAAAGTTGTAAAAACCTTTTTTTTTTTTGTTAGAGATTAAGTACTAGTTTGAGGTCTGCGAAAAAATAAATTAAGTCGATTTTTCACATCACAGTAGTACAAATGAATGATTAGACGTCAAAAAATATACAACCTGATTTAAATATATATATTATAGGTGAGTAAGCTTGGCTCGCTAAAATCTACTACCATGACTTTGAAGTTACATCTTTAAGTAAGGTTGTTTACGATCTGATCCGATTTCAAACATGTTGTGTTTGGAGCAAGAATTTGTGTCGTGATTCGGATCATAGTTCGTGGTTCGCTACAGTATTTTCTCTCACAAAAAACACACGTAAATCGAGAATGATTCTGAACTCATGAATCAAAAGTTTTTAGACCGAACCATTAGACTGAGACTGTATATAATATAAAGCTTTATATGTGTATGGTATATGCAAGAAAGTTGCTATGCGAAGTATTTTGTCCTAATTTTCTATACCAATTCACATAGAGGTGAACAGTTATATATTTATTGATAATTACTTGACGTGACAATAAAAGAATGACGATTAACATTAGTTGATTTTGAAAGGTTAAAATATTAGTTGGGATCCCAACCATAAATAACAATATACGAAAATTACCTGCCAGTGTAAAGTCTTTCCCCGAGGACAAAGTAAGCTAGAATTGCAACCAAGATTGTAGAAACAGGATTAAACATTGTCACAAAAACTGGTCCTTTCTCTCCCGTGCACCAAAGTTGAATGAAGATAATCAAGCCAGAACAAATTACTCCCTGCCATGGACATTATGCTTTAAGTATGTGTGTGTGTATATACATATATTATATATATAATATGTAATGCCCCCAAATTAGAGTAATAATAATACCTTAGAGAGTTGTGAGAAATAAATTAGGCAACAGAAGAAAACTTACTCCATATAATGTGGACCACAAATCAATATTGAATCCGATCCTCCAAGCAGTTGGTCTACGTTCAACAAACGCTGTGAAGACAGCTGATTGGGCTGCCCCAACAAAGCACATCCATGTAGTCAGAGACAGTTGTGCTGGATATCTCTTCAATGCAAATGCCTGAAACGTTATTTGTGAAATAATTGAATCTAAGATTTGCCTAATAAATAATATTGATTCGGCTATAGCTTATTTTTTAAGTTTGTTAAAAGTTATTTGCATTAATATTAAATTAAAATATCACTAAGTTTTTGAGCTTTCAAGTTGACAACATGAGTACATCAACGATTGAGTCAAACCGTAGTTGTAGAAATGCATATTAGAGCGTAGACTTGGCCCTAACTAATTTATCTTTGGAAGAAGAAGAACTATACAAATGCATATTAGAGTATGTTTGGTAGGAAAGAAAAGTAGAAGGAAGGAAGAAGGTGGAGATATTTTGGGAGAGAAAACGGAAATGTAGATTGTTTGGTGGGAGAGAAAAGAGAAAGAAAGAGAAAATTAAGTGAAAAATAATACATGTGGGTCCCACTATTTTTTTTCTTTCCACAAGTGGGCAGAAAATAGGGTGAAAAATGGAGACAACTAATTAAAGTGAGTAAAGTTACTAAACTACCCCTTTCTCTATCAACATCTAAACAAAAAATTAAAGGGTATAAAAGTAATTTACAACTAAAATTTTTTATTTCCTCCCAATTTAACTTCTAATACCAAACAATAAGCTCATTTTCTTTCAATCTTTTCGTACCAAATAACATAAAAAAAAATCAATTTTCTTTTTATCATTGTTATTTTTCATCACTTTCATATTTTTTTTCTATCATATTTTTTTTCCTTTCAACCGAACATAGTTAGGATTATATTATAATTATTCTTTGTGTTAGTTGTGGCAATGTTTAATCACGCTCCACAACCATCATTCAGGGTGTCCCATCATATCAGATTGCTCATTGGTGATTATTGGGTAGCGACCTTCCCTAGGTTACCCCATCTACAACATCAGTCACAAAATCGTAGCCACACACATGCGCGCGCGCACACTATATTTGATGTCATACTCGACATGGTAGTTTGTATACACTACTACAATTTTTTCAATTTGGGACGAAATTATTTGTGACGAAATAACGTTAAAATTAGTTATTGTTTAACAAGAGAATATTATCGTTGTTAATAATTTACTAGTCGTAGCAAATATATAGTTGGCAGTAAATGTTGTCTGGAGCCAACGTTTGAGACGACGATATCGTCGTAAAAAAGCTGTCTATATACCCATGATTAGAGCCTCCTCCATTTTTTCTGATCACTCTCTCTCTCTCTCTGCCTCTCTCTAGTTTTCCGACCCTAAACCCCCAAAACCTCCCCTTATTCCCTTCTAAATCCTCACCAAATCAGCATTTATCATAAGTTTTAATCATTTTCATTGTTTTTTCATTAAAAAAAGTATAAAAAACAAATAGATATTGAAACTGGATTATCAATTTTGAGATTGTTGAAATTTAGTATAAGTGTGTGTGAATCTCTTAGGGTGTTATTTTATGAAATATGCTTGTACTTTGATTTAGGTTAAGATTAAAAATTTTGATAATTTATCTGGGTGGCACATCTTGAAGTTATGGTGTGCCAAAATCTTTTAAAAGCTGTCTTTTTGCAGGTTTAGATTTTTGGATAATAAGAAAAATAAGTCGTTATGCTGCCGATATTTTATTAAAACCTATTAATTTTAAGAATTTCATTAATAAGATTTAATTATATTAATAAAAAGTAAATTATAAATTAATTATAAACATTACAACTTAAAAAATGATAAGAAATATTTATATTAATTTAGTCTAAAGAATTAATAAATAAAGTGATATATTTAAATGGATAAGAAAAATAATGAGTGCAATAATAATAGGATAAATTATTCATAAAAATTGATAAAACTTTATAAAGTTGAAACATGAACTATAAAACATTTTTGGTGAACGTGATTATATAGTCACAAAAAAACATGAACTATAAAACGTGAACTATGATTGGATGCGTTATTGTTTTTATAGTTAAGATGCCAATGGACAAGAGTTGGATACTAATTTGCATACTTGTTAAGTTTTTATCACTTTACCTTAATAATTGTTCTAACACATTCAACTTGATTAGGTAAATCCCGATACCCAGCAACTAAGATCATTAATTGACGATTGGGGTGACATGCACCGTCATGGGCAGAGTTTTGTCAATCTGGACGTTAAACGTGCATTTGTAAGTAAATTTTAAATTTATTTCTTTTTTCATATTTAACATAATATATTATACTATTTTTATTTATTTTTATTTCATTTCCCGTTGCAGGCTCAGATGGAGGGGGAAAGAGCCACACAGATGACACAGTCTGCTGGCGAAGGTTTATCTGCCACGATGGTCGATGAGGTGGGGATTATGTCCCAAGTCTTGGGCAAGCGTAGAGGACACACTAAAGGAGTGGGACCGACACTACCACAAAGGAATTGTTCAAGCGCTTCCACCTCACCATCTGGTTTGTAATCGGACGGGTCGTCTTCGTTTAATTTGCCCTAGTATGTCCAAAACTGGCTGAACAACATCTATATCGAGCAATGCAACATGTTCGACAACCAGCAGATCATGATGGAAGCCATGCGCTTGATGAATCCCAACACAACTTCTTGCCACTTAACCGTCCCCAACCGTTGGTTCCTCTGCCGCTTGAGCTAAACAAAGAAGACGAGGATGAGGACGACGATGCTGCTAATTTAGGGGATTCAAATATCTATTTTTATTTTTTATTATCAATACTTTTTAGCATTTCTTGATTAATTTACTTTTTACGACTGATTTTATTATTGTGCTGACTATTTTATATCAATTTTATTGTTCTATTTTCTTCTAATTTATATATTCAATAATTAATATTATTAGTAATGTACGGTAAAAAAAAGGATAAAAAAATTATTTGCGACGACATATCTAAATTGTCGTCACAAATAGTCTACATTACTAGCGACGACACTTTGAAGCCTATGGTCGCAAAATGTTTTAAATACTTTTGCGATTTTGTGATGACACGTAGCCGTCACAAATAAGTTAGGATACGTCATCATCAACGACATATTCGACGGAACATTTGTGACGACTTATTCACGACGATTGTCGTCGCTAATATATTAGCGACGGCATTTAAAAATTTTGTTGTCATAAATATATTATTTGCGTCGAGTTTTTTACGACGACTAATGTGTGGCAACATGTCGTCGAAAATAAAGTATTTACGATGACAATGTAGTTATTTGCGACGACTGACTGTCATCGCAAATAAGTTTTTTTGTTGTAGTGATAATCCATCATTTTTAATTAGTTTCAAATCAGCAACAATCCACCTTATCGACATTGGCTCGATATATAGCCTCTCCTCCTTGGTGACTCCACTCGACTACCTTATTGGATAAGAAACTA